TGTTGTCAGTTATCTAAACAAGAAGCAAAGGTTAGTAGTACCGAACATTCACGAGCAGTTTTATTATTCCTCAAGATATAGCCCGCGCCAGCGACTGCGCCCTTCGAGCAACACAGCCTCCCCCACCCCCCTAAAGAATGAAGCAATGACTGCGATGCCGTGATTGTCAATTTTTTTGTCTTTAACCGTCAGCTACTGACCCTTGAAAGTGGGGGCGTACATGTGAAATGGTGTAGCCGTTTCACAGTGGGCCTTCAGACAAGCACGGCCAGCGATGGCCCCACTACTGAAAGCTACGCGTATTAAAACCAAATTGCGGCTGCTCCAACCAGGAGGCATGCTTTCATTAATGAGATGACATTATAAAATAAAGCACATGAAAATTTTGTATTCGAACCCTAGCAATCTCAAGTTTGACAGGGCAGTGTATTTTGAGGGGTTTTACCGCAATAACGATTACAAATGCTCATGTGCTGGTGGAAGGCGTTACAAAAATGCGTTTATAAGTGAATCTCCAAGTATATTAGAGGAAAAGTGTCAACGCGTTTCCCACCTTCAGTGCTCTGGACGCAAAGCACAGAAAATTAGATCGTGATGTGCAGAAGTAGATGTGGCAGACATTACTGTGGGAAGTTATTAGAGAAAATCACTTCAATTACGTGCCACTCTTCAAATGAGCTATCAGCAGCGTTCCTAGAATGGACGGCGTTCGCTCATAAATAGCCGCCAGTTTCACGCTACTAATTGGACTAGGTGTCACGAGCCACTGTGGACAGTGCGTTTCGCCATTAAGCGGACTTGCACAACAGAAGTTGCGTCGGCACCAAACATAGCCTGATGGATTACTTAGAATGCACACGCGACAGCTGTTTATTCAGCGGAATAATTCTAGACACCCGATTGTGACTTTGGTAGCCCTGAGAAAAAGGTGCACATGTTTTGATGCACCGGCGTGGCTATTGCCGGGAAGAAATGCTTCCAAATCTGACTTTGGCACAGTTTGCCCCAATTTCTGTTGATATTATCAGGATGGTGCTGTAAATCTAAATTGGCGCAGTTGCCACAGAAGTGGAATCACTGCTTTATATCATTCAGGTACAAGCAGAGTTTTTAGAGTTATCGCACCACCACACAGCTTTCTCTTTCCTTTCATTCCAACTAGCCCACTGTAAGCTACATAAGGGGAGATAACTGAGAGGCAAGGCCCTAGTGTTTGACAGAGCATACACATAAGCCTGTCAAGTGCCCCCTCCCACGAGCCTAGGACGAGAGGAAACATTACATGGGCAACCAGTGAATAAGAATAGCAAAGCAAAGATGAAATGCTTTGTCAGTCTTACTTTCAAATTGTTGGTATGCATGAGTTCCATTTTCTTCAAGTCAACATTAGCAATAACATTACCAAGAATGCTCTCGCTATCACAAAATATGTGAGCACTGTTTGATTAATTTGCTCCACCTCTGCTAAAGAAGCTACAAAAAAGATATTGAGCGATTTCTGGTTATTTCAGACATGAGATTATAAAGCCTGCAGCATACAGTGCAGCCATACTTAGCTCCCTCTTCGCATGAGCACGATGTACAAATTCACAGTATTCTATGAATCTGGTCAGCACGTGTTTCTGGGCCCCATAAAACAACCTTATTCCTCTAAACACCGTTACAATTATTCTTCTATGGCCAGTTTCAGTTTGATTTCCTTGGAGGTGTGTATGACATGGCACAATGAAAAAAATGTGTAGGTGCAAGATGTAACATTCCAGTACTTGCTCTGGCTCGCTCGGTGGTACATTAGGCTCCATTGGGCCAAACAATGATTTGCAGCATAGCAGATCGACAAAGTGAGCGTAAGTGAAAGCCAAAATGCTACAAACCTTTCACAAAACTGCCTCGTATATGAGGACACAACAGTACATACACATCTAAGGAAACACAATAAATTGTTCCTAGAAAACAATTAGAATAAATTATTTAAAGCACTCTGAGGCTTACCAATACTACATATTTTATGCTTCACAGATATAATTGCTGGATTTCTGCATCCCGAAACAACAATAAGATTGTGAGGGATGCTGTAGTGGAGAGCTCCAGAAGTTTCGACCACCTTGGGTTTTTAATGTAAACCTACATTCAATGAACACATGAACATCAATTCGTTTGCCTCCATTTTAATGCAACCGCTGTGCTCGGCATTCCATCACACAACCTTTGGGTCAGCAGTCAAGAATCCTATACCCACTAGACCCTCGCAGGGGGTAGGTTTAGATATACAACACTTTCCAATAGTACGAAAAAAATGGAAAGACAAGTATGAGGCCAATACTTCTTTCAAGTATTACTGAGATGATAAGTAAAAGTTCTATTTTAATATGGTTTCTCATGGACTAAAAATCTAGTGCACCTAACTTGCTTCCTGAGCAAACATTTTCGTATCAACTAACAATGTCCTCCACGAATGAGTACACGTTTCACAAATATTTTGAGGAGCCCAGGAATACACAAACTAATGTTACCATTGACCCAGCTACAATATTGCTCTTTTGCTGCTGTACTACACTTGTGAAATCTCTGCACTGGGCAATTCAATAAAAATAACAAAATGAATTGCAACAAAAAAAATTTCTCGCAGCTGTCTCAAACTTTAATGCATCCAGTGGAATGACACAAGCAACCAAGACATTGCCCTTGATTCACGGTTGAGTGACTATACGCCCAAACGTGTTCCAAGCATCAATACGTCGTGCCCTCCGATGCAGTCATCCCATTTTACAGTGTATGTCACAATAATCTAAGGCTTTTATTGGCATAGGTTAGAAATTACAACTGCATGCTATTACTAAAACTTCACGGTGAATGCAAAAAAATTATCTCAGTGAAAATTCATTGTAACTAAGTTATGCCCGCCACAAACACATTTTACCAGGATGGCTTGATGGGGTAGTTGGTATTGCGCATTAGAAAGCTTACAGCTCACACAGATGGGAACAAAAAAGAAAAAAACAGGGCACAAGAAGCAACACATATAAACACTGAGCCAGTCAATGACAATGCTCACAAAGCCAGGCAAAAATGAGAAAGTAAAACTAAGAATATGATGCCCATCATCCTGCACTTTACCTACTGCACATCGGTGCGCACGTAATTTTTCTTTCAGAGAATAAAAACAAAGTGCTCACGTGCAAGGTGCATCTTTTTTTCTTTTTTCCGCCGTTCTTATGCATTGTAACCTTTTTTAAATATGCATTTTAGTTCTTATATTCATTACAAGCATACATATTCTTCTATAACAGGACATTCACATAATACAAGCCCGTCATTATTATGGATTCCTGGTACTCTTGGTATTTCCATGCCATTCTCTCACATGCTGCTACATACTGTCATACTCATAAAACCTCGTTAATTCAAAGACACTGGGGCTGTGAGAAATCTTCAAATGAAGGAGGTTTTAGAATTACCAGAACACACAAAAAGTGGGATGCAAGGAACTTGCAATTATTCAAAGTAATCAGGGCTAATCGTTTGCTTTACTGGCTAGTCTGCAGCTCCAAGGGTTATGTTCTCCCACAATACCTGGTCTTAATTTTGCCACAAACCCGGAGCAATGACGAGCTTCCCTGCTGCTACCGAAAACAACAATAGAAAAGATGAGAAAAATAAGATGCTCTCGTGATCAAATGAAATGAGCACATTAACAAGATGTGCTTCACTGCTGCATAGTAGTGACACACGGCTAGCATGTCGCCTGCTCCTTGCTGCGTAAGCACTTCATGATGCACACCCATTTTTTCTGGTAAAATAAAGAATTTATAATGGCCAGTGTGGCGAAATTCGCGATATGTGTTGACTGGAAAACATGATCACTGAAGTTTTCGAAGTAGGCACTGCAGGCAGGAACTTGCCAGCAGTGCCAGAGCGCAAATTGCTGGAGCAACCGGCAATCAGAGGTTCGCATACCAAATTCCGCCAGACTGTTCTTTATAAATTTCTTTAGAGTCTCGAAAAGAATGGGTAAATCATGACACGCTGACGTAGTGAGAAGCATGCGACATGAGGCCCGCGCATCATCGCTATGTTGTAGTGAAGCACGTCTTGTTTTGTTTCCGCAGGCGCACATTTTGTTTGACCACGAGACGGTTTTTTTTTCTTCTTTTTTGCGCTGGAAGTAGCGCAGATCAGGTGGTTCAGCTGCCACTCATTAGAATAGCTATGCTGCATTGCCTTGTGGCTCCTAAGGGCCGTCACTTCTGCGGAGTTGCGACGAAATGTGGATGGGGAATCAGCACAAGCACCCACAGTTTTCGAATTAATCGCACTAGTGCTGGCCGCCACTTCAAGTAATACACGCAGACTTACACAGCAAAATACAGGACCGTGGAAATATTTAAAATAAATTGGGATTTCAAAATAACTGAGTTCAAAGTAATGAGGAAGAAAATAATGTTTACAGGAAGCGATAGGTTGTCATAGGGCTGCTTGTTTTTGAACTTGGCATCACTGAGTTTTGACCCAAAGAACTTACTTATGGGAAGCTATGGCTTGACAATAGCGTGCTTTTGCAGCACCAGTTTAGTGTAGCACACTAAAATAAAGAGTGTTGTACAACTGTAACCAACCCCATAACTTCCCACCAATGCTGATATTGGTTTCAAAATATCTCTTACCAAGTTTTTGAACAACAAACAAAAACATATGCCTCCAACGGATGGGCAAAGGTTTCCTACAGATTTTGAAGGGCCATGGGCAATTCGTCGTGTCGGTATGGTGGCCAACAGCAGCAACAATGTAGACGCACATGCTTAGCCTTCACTAACGCACAATCATCCAGTGTGATCACACAGGATCAGCCCATTGGCTTTTTGGGTGCTGCCTAACCAAGCCAAACAACTGGCTAAAATGTGCATGCACATTCAGAGTGTGCCAAGCTACCCGAGTACAAATGCAGACCGAAAACAAGTCAGCAACAGTTCTGCAGCAGCTTCTTAGAGTGGAATAATCACCTGTCTTTCAGTCCCTTGTAGACTGGCCCAGCCACAGTGCAGTCAGCATATGGCACCTCTACACCAGGCAGGGACTTGATAGGGTAGATGGTAATGTTCACCAGATAAGCCACAGGCACAAAGTTACTGGCAGCTACCTTGCGCTTGAGCCAAACATAAGATGCTGCCGCGATAGCCCCACCTGCAACTGTGGCTGTGAGTGCAATGACACCAAGTTGGGGTGCTCTCAGAATTGAAGACACCATGACCAGGCTTTTTTAAAAGCAGACCCTGTAAACATTTTCCGATTAGTACAGATATATATGGAAAGGGTAAGTCCCTTACCAAAAGAAAAAGCATTACAGCTGCACACATTGAACTCTACCGACAGCTGTTCAAGTTCAAGCCAAGCAAATCCAATTTAATGCATACTTCTGTACAAAAGTATTTTTTGCCCTAACCAGAGCTCTTCACATGCACTGAAACACCTTCAACAGTGTTTTCATTCTCTATGCAAAACTTTACAAACCACATGCCCTGCAACATAAAGCACATCACAGTATCAGGACGCAGTAAGCAGCATAGGGGTGAGCGTGAGTCGTCAAACTCAAGCAGAAAAAGTTCCATTCTGTGGAACAGTGCTGGCACAGTTTTCAGACTTGCATGGACTACCAAACAAACAAGTTTTTTTTTTTTTTTTTTTTTTATAAGAGGTCTCCGGAAGTCTGTTTCTTGAAGCAAGGGTGATAAACTAAGGCTTTCTTATTTTGGTCATGTAATGCAAACTACAAGTTTAATGAAGTAGAATTTAATGCTAGCCAAAGTGAAAGGTAAAAGATAAGGGGGCTGTTCAATGTTATTTCAAAGGCCACAGACCTAAGCTCGTTATTTTGCAGTAAACACGTGCCATGACAAAAAAAAATGGCACACTATTTAATCCACGGGATTTAGAATGTGAACTAATGTAAGAAGAAGTAGAAACTATTCCACTCTGTGAAGGTGGGTGGGTCACCAGTTGATCAGACAGGTGCACTTGAGCCTCGGCTCTCGTTTGCATTGTTCATAATATCTCGAGTTTCACGTACCGAAACAACAATATGATTACGAGACTTGCTCTATTGAAGCGAGAGCTACAAAAATTTCAACTCTCTGGTGTTCTTTAACATGAGCACATGAGCGAGCTTCTGGCATTTTATCATTACCAGCATCTTGAATGCGTGGCTAGGATCGAACCCACAACCTTCAAGGCGAACTCCGGCGATTTTCAAGGACAGTGGATCTCAATGAAATTGACTGGGTGCACTCATTTGCACGTTTGCACCATTCATGCCAAATTGCAGGCTTGAGAGTTTCGCAGATTCTTTTCAAATGAATTTTATAGCTTGCCTCGAAATGGTAACCACGCTTGCCGGAATTAATGGCAACATTGTGTGTGTGACATTGAGTTTTGCCTGGTAGAAGTGACGAACTGATGTGCTACTGCAGCGTCTGCTTCTCTGCTATGGATTGTGCGGGTTTGGTCAACTCTTCCTTGGTTGAGCATGCGATTTCCTTTTTCGTGTTAGTAGGCGTGCGATAGGTGCAAAGTGGTGTTGCGTTGTGAGCCACCCACAATTCACCATATATTCACCATAACAGCGTAAGCACTTTAGCCGATGGGCGCGGACGACGTGGACAGGTAGTGCCATCTGGCGGGCATTATGTGCAATCACGCAGGTTCTGGCAGCGTCAGGCAAATCCTTACGTCACACGTACAAGAGCACTCGGTTGGGTTTCGGTATTGCAGTTTTTTGATAATTAAAAATTATTTCCGAATTTTTTCAGCTTTTTGTTATCGAGCGCGTGAGAAGAGTGTCAAAGAAACATAAGAGCACCATTATCTTGACATGGTAAAAAAATCGCCGGAGTTGGCCTTTCAGGTCAGCAGCCAAACACGATAAGCACTGTTCCATCGCCATAGACTACATTCTTCATAAGTATGCTGCTCCTCGGACATTCTCGCTGTCCACAGCTAACGTATATATTTGCCATGCATGACTGTGCCTGGCCTCAACTGAGGTGACAAACACATACCAAAGACATAATGCTCCACTGAAACACTCTGCACTTCACTTGGTGCTGTACTGCCTCTAGAATCGGACCAATCAGGGACATCGGTTGATGTCATTGATATGTTAAGACATTTGGTGATCTGTGACATCATGATGATGTTTCAGACAGGGTCCAGTGATTTTGCTTTTTTTTCCACTATTCATGAGCAGGCTTCGTAAAACGAAGGAGGCATGCAATTTACAGCTTTGGCTGTACAAGAATAATGGGAGAATGTCAACTCTTTTGTAAATAGGCACACCAGGCAAGATGAGATAAGTCGAATTTAAATTGACGAAATAGAATGCACTTCTAGTATAGCTGAGGGTCTCAGTAGTTTTTTTTTCTTCCTTGAAAATTTAAATTTTCCTACACAAATTGTCTATCTCATTCTTCCTTTTTATTTCCTACTATACCAGATTAAATAGTGACATTTATAGGTATGACATAATTGACAAGTGCTGAAACAGATGACATTCATCCTTCTAACATACAATCTATTGTGCATCCAATATCAGACATATTTTCCTTTATTGTTAATTTATTATTTAAAAATGGTGTATTCCCTTGTGAACTTAGACACTGAAAAGCGATACCTGTATTTAAAAAGGCTACAAATCATTATTAAATACCCACCAACTCATTTCTGTTTTGCCATTCTTTGGAAAAGTTATTGAGAAGCTTATCGAAACACGGTCAACAAAAACAAAGCACATTTCTAAGTTTAATATCCTTTCTTCTCAGTTTGGTTTCCACCATGGATACTCAACAGAGTTGATACTTATTCATCTTACTGATCAGTTAAAAAAATTAATGAAATGATATCTAATGGCCTCATTATTCATCAATTTGACAAAAGCATTTGACAGTAAATATAATAAGATTCTGTTCACTAAAGACGAATCAAGTGGCATTTGTGGGCCTGCTCTTTTATTACTAAAAAGCTACCTATATAACACAATTAACGTCATTTTTATTTCTAATATTTGTTCTCAACAGCGAAATACTAACAAAGGTGAGCCCCAAGGCTCTATTCTAGCACCACTTCTGTTTTAGATTCATATCAATGACTTGCCTGATCATCTCCCTTCAGCCCAATGCATTTTATATGCCGATGGTACAACCATATTAACCTCTCATAAAAATATCTTGTTTCTAGTAAATATCTTGAATGTTGATTTAAATATATTCTGAAGTGGTTTAATGTGAACATATTATCTATTATTGCTACAAAAATCAAATGTATTATATTTACTTATCAGCAAAACTTACTATCAATACCACATATCCCTTTTGGTCCCCCCTCCCAGCTCACATTCTGCCTTTGTTATTGTTCTTCTTGAAAATAACTCAAGATATCAGTAGCTTATTGCGGATATAAAAAATAAAATATAACATATCATAAGGCGCATGCATTTTTATTCAAACACACCCTTACTTTTCACTCACCACATTACTGTCTTTATCAATCTTTAATCCCTTGTCATTTTACTTATGACTTAACATGTAGAGGAAATATTGATCCTGCATTTCTCCACATTGTTCAGAGCCATGCTAACAGAACAATGCCATCCAGCTCATGCCTTTTCAATGCCAAATGTCTGCTAGGTGATAATGACATCCTTACCATTAATGAGCTCACTAAGTACAATTTAGGTATTCTTTTCCACAGACTTATTAATAACAAACTTCTGCTGGCAATTATTCTGTCTTCTAGTATTATGATTTAGAATGCTACTCGATCCAAATTGAACAATAATTTTCTTTCACCATTGCCCCGCCGCGGTGGTCTAGTGGCTAAGGTACTCAGCTGCTGACCCGCAGGTCGTGGGTTCGAATCTCGGCTGTGGCGGCTGCATTTCCGATGGAGGCGGAAATGTTGTAGGACCGTGTGCTCAGATTTGGGTGCACATTAAAGAACCCCAGGTGGTCGAAATTTCCGGAGCTCTCCACTACGGCGTCTCTCATAATCGTATGGTGGTTTTGGGACGTTACACCCGACATATCAATCAATCAGTTTTCTTTCACTCAGAATTTGTACTAAATATGGTAAGCAAACTGTACCATTCATTTCAATTTCATGATAGAACACTCCCCCTATCATGAAAACAAGATCACTAGATAATTTTAAGAAAGAGCTAAACATGTACTCCACTTCACACAGACTAACTAGAAGTAATGCTGTTTCTTTAATTATATGATTTTTTGTTCAGTATAACATGAATGAAGGTTATGAAACTGTTGTACAGTTGTTTTTTCCCTTATTTTTTTTCTTACAATTATTTTTCTGATATGTTAAAATCATGCTATTTTATGTGATCACTCATGTATTTTCATTCTATTGTTATGTTTTTCGCTTGACAACTATCTTTCCCTACTGTTGGCTTGAAGTGTTTTGCTACCCCGTTGGCCTTTGTACAAGAGGTCCCGATGCCGTCTCTCTACTATGAGACCTCCTTTTGTGCACTGAACACTTGTAACATTACCCAACATTTTAAAACAAATTTTGCTTCTGATAAGCTTCCTTAACAACGACAGCATATAAGCAGCAATTTCAACAACTGTTGCATGTTGACAGAATATCATTTGAGGGCAACCAAAATTTCACATCGCCAACACCAGAATGAGCTTACAAATGCAATTCACTGCAGCGAGTCATTTGGCACGTGCGCACACCGGCCTTAGAATACGTGTTTTTTTTTTTTTTTTTTTTTTACCTCAAGCGAGCAGACACCGAGAGCGCGCGGGGCGGGCGTAAAACGCATGCGATTGTTCACAACTGGCTGCACAGCTGCCACTCCCAGTTTTCTCTGCAACAGTCACACTCTAGGTATTAGGAAAGGTAAAGTGGACACACAATCCAGTAAATCGAAGACGTTTTTACATAGAATCACAATGAGCCGCCTATGCCTGTTAACAAGTTGAAAGAAGCAGCTTGAGAGTAGAAATTCTTCAAACTTTTTGTCACACAGCATGCAGCCAAGTGACAAACGAAGAAATACACTTACCGGGATGTCCTTGCGATACAGGCATAAAAGTCAGTCGCCCGTTTTCGTGAGCGGAGACGCAGCTTAGAGATATGGTAGATTGGTGAAAGGTCAATCCCAATCTTGAGATAAGGGCGGAATACTTTCAAGGGCAGCTTTCAACTGAGTTGTCAACTTACTTTCCACCTCAAGAGGTGTTATCTGGTTTCGCCGGCTTGAGCTACGCTACACGAATTTGCGCGCAATCAACGGCGAGTTCTGCGCACGTTTTCCATATAGCCGCTTAAAACCGACTTGGCTTGGCTTGAAGTTTATAAATAGGTGGCGGCAGAAACGCTTGGCGCAAAGCACGGAGGAAGGAGTGGCGCAAAGCATTTTTAAGGCTGTTTACGTAGCGTGTTAACGTAGGTGTTCTGTGTGTCTGACAACGGCACGTAGGTGTTCTGTGTGTTTACGACTGGCACCGCGGAGCCTTTCACTAACTTGTGCGAATCTTTATGACCGTAGTTGTAACATTTGATTGCAAACTTGTACAGTAGGCATGCTGTGGTGATGTAGTTCCGTGGTGGGTGTTGGTTTGGACCGTGAACTGTGTTAAACAGTGAGAACCGCCACTGCCTGCGGGGCCGTTGTCGCGTTGCGTATGAGTGTATGAAAGTCTTAGAATGGGATTCACGTGCAAGTCGCTGCCGCTTTTTTATTAGTTCCTGTGGGGCGAACGGAGTTTCACTGCGGTGCTCAGAAGATAACACCAAATCTCTTGAAGTATTTATCGCCAAATCTATGAGCATTGATAACGAGGTGTGCGAGCGTGAATCAAAGATCTTGTGTTTTGTGATTTGTGAACTACGTGAACGTGTGATGCTTGTGTTGCTGAGGGTCGATCGGTATCAGTTGGACTGTCATTTGGGCGAATTACTTGGACCAACGCTTTTCATTCTTTCTTTAAGCTTCGCCTTGCGTAAGTGCGCGAGGCAGATGCGGTATACGCAAGGTGGAAGCGATGAAATGTGAACAGTCGTTCAGTGCTCGGCGCTATTGTCCGAGTAGCAATTATGCTGTAACCGATAATGACAATTAATCTTCTAAGAAGTGTTTGTTTAGGTGGGTGTATACAAGTGAAGGAGAAAATAAAATGAATATTTATTGCTGGGAGCATTCTCTAGCTGAAATCGCCGACCCCCAAGCATCTTTTCGAAAATTGGTCAACATTGCCGCAATGCAGTTATGTTGTGCGGCGAAGTGCGTGCAGCAGTATACCGAGGTAGAGCGTGCTTAGGCACGCGCGCGTGTGTACAATAAAAATTTAGCACCGTAATTAGCCCTCGTGTGTGTGCCTTAGCATTACACGCGCCGTCTCTTGTCTCATAAATGGTGATATGGTAGACAGCATTGCCACCGACTTCAGCCTTTGTAACAAGCCCATATCAATTTACCCTGGAAAAAACATTTTGTGACAAGAAGTTCACAAGGCAATAAACTGCTAGTTCATTACATAAATAGTTAAAAATTGTTGCACGGTATCTCTAAAGAAGTGCTAAATACCTATGACTGACTCCAGTGGTACTCCACATTTGCTTCCATTGCATATATGCTCTAAATAGAAAATGATTATTAATATGCACTCAAGCTAAGTATATGACATGACCGCCCATGTTTCGTAAACTTTCTTTCAAACGTAGTAGCTCGTGGTTTGTTTACGGCGTCCTTTCCAGTAATCAAGGAAAATAAGTAGGCACTGAAGAATGGTAGAAAATTATATGTGCAGTTTGTCAATGAGGCAGGCTGACCTTTGCAAGAAACTGATTTCTGAAAACCACATTTTTCCAGGACTAAGAGCAAGCTGGTTTCAACACACTTATCGTGACCCGAGGTGATATTACATGTTCAAGTATTTTACAGGGGCTGCTTGTTGGCGAGATGGAGTAGTAATTAGGCAAGTGCCTGTCATCAGGTGTGGACACGCATTGCATTCCAAGTCTTAAAAAGGTTGCTATTAAGGATCAGGCTCAAAAGTTTTCGACGGGATTAGCACACAGCAGTAATTATTTACCCTTCATATAATAGGGTTACCGCTAAGGCTTGCAGCTACCTTAAATGAGCTTGTCACTTTTTCAAACACCTCATAAATAAATAATGTGAAGAGGTTTATTAGCCGTTAAAGGCAGCGACGAGACAGCGTGAAGAACCGTCCAGCGATCGGCACAGCAACGAACCGGAGCACGAGCCGAGAGAGCCGGGCGTTGGCGATGCTGCTTGCTGCTGGCACATCTTCTTCTTCACAATCGCCCCCGCTGAAAAAAGAGCCATCCTGGCGACCTAAGAAGTTTCAGGGAGAGGCTCATGATACGGTTTTAGGCGGGAAACATGGACGATGTCACGTGCACGCCGGCGCATGTCATCCGATCGAGAAACTGGCTCAATTAGGTAATTAACCGGAGAGGTTTTCTCTAAAACGGTGTAAGGCCCCTCGTACCGGGGGACAAGTTTTGATGAGAGTCCCGGAGTTTGGTATGGGATGGCAAGCCACACGAGAGACCCTGGGGCATAGCTGGGATCTGGAAGAGAGGTGCAACGGTTTTCTTTCTGGCGTTGCTGCTCGTCCGAGGTGAACGCACGGGCGAGCTGGCGGCACTCTTCGGCTTGTCGAGCAGCATCGGAAATAGGTGGAGATTCTGAAGCATCAGGATGGTAGGGAAGTAGAGTATCAATTGTATGGGAAGGGTCACGTCCATAAAGAAGAAAGAAAGGTGAAAATCCCGTGGTTGCTTGTATTGCAGTATTGTATGCAAATGTCACGTATGGGAGAACACGGTCCCAGTTGCTATGATTAGATGCCACGTACATCGAGAGCATATCACCCAGCGTGCGGTTAAACCGTTCCGTTAGCCCATTAGTCTGCGGGTGGTATGCTGTCGTTTTCCGATGAATGACGTGGCATTCCGAAAGCAGAGCTTCGACGACCTCGGAGAGAAAAGCGCGGCCTCTGTCACTAAGGAGCTCGCGAGGTGCGCCATGTCGAAGGATAAATTGACGTAAAATGAAAGAGGCGACATCCTGAGCGGTAGCGCTCGGTAAAGCGGCTGTTTCGGCGTAGCGTGTTAGATGGTCGACCGCCACTATAATCCACCGATTGCCATCTGATGTCAATGGAAGGGGGCCGTAAAGGTCAACGCCAACGCGATCAAAAGGCTTGGCAGGGCACGGAAGTGGCTGCAATTCGCCAGTAGCACGTAGCGGTGTTGATTTGCGTCGCTGGCAGTCAGGACAGCACTGCACAAATTTGCGTACGAAATTGTACATGCCGCGCCAGTAATAGCGATGGCGAAGGCGTTCATATGTTTTGAACACCCCGGCGTGGCCACATTGTGGATCGTCGTGAAGAGAAGCGCATACCTGCGATCGCAAAGCGCGTGGAATGACCAGTAGCCACCGGCGGCCATCAGGAGAGTAGTTGCGTCGATGGAGAAGTTGATCGCGGAGGGCAAAATGGAAAGCTTGACGTCGGAGGGATCGAGATACCGGAAGGTTGGGCGTACCGGATAGATATTCGAGAAGAGATGCGATCCACGGGTCACGACGTTGTTCGGTGGCAATTGAGTCAAGATTTAACGATGACAAGTACTGGAGGCACGTGTTTCCGCACGTCGGATCTGGTGGCAAAGGTGAGCGGGACAGGGCGTCAGCGTCAGAGTGTTTGCGTCCACAGCGGTATACGACGCGAATGTCGTACTCCTGGATGCGGAGTGCCCATCGCGCAAGGCGGCCAGAAGGGTCTTTCAGCGTGGAGAGCCAGCAAAGCGCGTGGTGATCAGTTACTAGATCGAACGGGCGGCCGTATAAGTACGGCCGGAACTTTCCAAGCGCCCACACCAGAGCCAAACACTCTTTTTCTGTCACGCTGTAATTAGTTTCGGCTTTCGTCAGAGTGCGGCTAGCGTAGGCTACAACGTATTCTGAATAACCGGGTTTTCGTTGCGCGAGGACAGCACCTAGCCCGACGCCGCTGGCGTCGGTGTGCACTTCGGTAGGAGCCGTCGGGTCGAAGTGGCGAAGAATAGGTGGCGAGGTGAGCAGACGGCGCAGAGTAGTGAAGGCAACGTCACATGCAGGGGACCAGGAGGAGAGGTTCACGTCACCGCGAAGAAGCTGGGTTAATGGTGACATGATGGATGCAAAATTGCGAACGAAGCGCCGGAAATACGAGCACAGGCCTACAAAACTGCGAAGTTCTTTCATGGTCGTCGGCTTGGGAAATTCTGCGACTGCTCGAAGTTTTGCTGGGTCAGGTAATACGCCGTGCTTCGACACGATGTGGCCTAGGATGACGAGCTCGCGTGCAGCGAAGCGGCATTTTTTCAGGTTAAGCTGCAGGCCAGCGTTGGTCAGACAAGTCAAAACCTGCCTGAGGCGAAGGAGGTGCGTAGGAAAGTCGTGCGAGAAAACCACGACATCGTCGAGGTAGCAGAGGCACATATTCCACTTGAGGCCACGTAGCGTATTATCCATAAGTCGTTCAAACGTGGCGGGCGCGTTACAAAGCCCAAAGGGCATGACGTTAAACTCGTATAGTCCGTCAGGTGTAATAAATGCAGTTTTTTGGCGATCGGCTTCAGCCATTGGAACTTGCCAGTAGCCAGACCGCAAATCCAGCGACGAGAAGAATTCCGCTCCGTGAAGGGTGTCGATGGCGTCATCAATGCGCGGCAAAGGATATACGTCCTTGCGGGTTATCTCATTCAAACGACGATAGTCTACGCAAAATCGGATAGATCCGTCTTTCTTACGCACCAGGACGACAGGAGACGCCCAGGGACTGTGAGATGGTCGAATAACGTCTCTACGAAGCATATCTTCGACTTGATCGTTGATGACGCGGCGCTCTTCAGTGGAGACACGGTATGGTCTTTGACGCAGTGGCTGGTGTAGGCCGGTGTCAACATGATGCTTGACTTGTGACGTGCGGCCTAGTTGAGGTTGGGACACATCGAAGGAATTCCGGAACTCATGCAGAAGATCAAGCAGGTCGGCATGTTCGGTGGGAGTAAGGGTGTCGGCGATGGCGCTGGAAAACGTATCCTTAGACGACTCCTCGAGGGCCGACAGTGATTTTGGGTGGTCGCAGTATTCATCCGGGAATTCAACCAAAGACGAAGGGTCGAGATCCTGCACGCGGCCGAGACATTCTCCCGCAAGCAAAGTGACAGTTGTGGAAAGCGGGTTGAGTATGAACATATTACTTCTTCCGGCGGCAAGGTCAATCGTTGCGAAAGGCAGTGGCAGAGCTCGACGACTCGTGAAGATATCGGAAGGCATAAAAAAGACTGTAGCGTCAGT